AATTCTAGCATTTGGGATGCAGAGGAAGGAGGATCAGGAGTTCAAGGCCTGGGTGCTATGAGACCCTGTCTCCAGACAAACACACGGAAATAAGGAAAAGACAAGGCTTGTGACAACTGTTAGTAAAGAATTCCTTTGTTTTTCATGACACCTGAATTTTCAGTTCCACTTGCCAGCCCTGCTGTGCATGGCTGGGCACTGGTTTGTTTCTCGCTGTCACAGCACACAGGATCACAAAAAATGCCCTGCTTTGTCCAGATGCCTTATGGGGAACAATCTGGACCTGCAGACATCCTGGATCTCATAACTCATATTAGGATCTGGATTTCACAAACAGTGTTTTAAACATATCAAAGTTTATTTTATTTATGTTCAATTAATTTTTTGGAGACAGAGTCTCTCTGCAGGCCCAGCTAGCCTAGAACTCAGTGTGTCGGTCAGGCTGGCCTCAGTCTCACAGAGATTCACCTGATTCTGTCTCTGCCTCCTGTGTGCTGGATTAAAGGAATACATTACCATGCCTGGCTAGTTCACTTTGTTTCTGATGTACATGTTGTGCAGTTCAGGTGCTCCTCAAACCTCAATCATCTTGCTTCAGCCTCCTGCCTGTCAAGGTTTAAAGTGAGGGAAATGTCAGCAAAACCAAATACTTCTGGAAGAATCCACAGAGCACAAGCAAATGTTGTTGCCTCTGAGAAGGGAAATGAGTAGCCAGGAAACATGGATTGGAAGGAGACTTAACAGTCACCAAATACAATTTTGTACTTTTGTTCATTTCTGAGACACAGTCGCACTCATAGCCCAGACTGACCTGCTGGGATTAGAGGCGTGAGCTATGATGCCTGGTTCTTTTTGTACTTTTTGAATTTTGTACTTTGTGTGCATGTAATCTATTCAAAAATAAATTATTTTGAAGAACTTAGTGGAGTCCTAAGTATCTCTTGTTTGCCCCACTATTTCATATTCGTGTAAAATCGTGCCTTTCTGAGTCAGGCTGTCTTACTATGTAAATTCTTCCATAGGAAGCAATGTTATACAGTTTTGGAAGTGGTAATGCCAGTTGGTTACCACTTAGTGGCTAGAATAAGAGCCTCCTGAATGTCAAGCCAATGCTGTTCCAGAGTCCTAACTTCCTGCCAGCTTTGTGGCAGAATCTGGCTGTGTAAAACCCAAAGAAATACAAATCAATTAAGAGCCAGTGGTTTCATTCACCTCAGAACAGGATACAATTAGTAACAAACATTGATGGAAACGTTTCCACTAGCCAAAACTCTGTCCCTTCCTAGACAGCAGAAGACAGAAAGATGAAATACAGTGTACATGACTGTCAAGTGCCACTAGTGCCAGGGCCTTGTGCTAGAATATGAACCCGGCTGCTTGATCTTTCACCTCGAGCACTGTTACCCAATAGAGGTAAAAATGCTTATATCCAGAAGGCAGTGTGAAAGTGGAACAGCCAGCCATCTGCTGGAACTCTTCCAAATGCAACACTATGACATTATAAGCAGTGGTGCAGCTCATGGAGATTTAAAGAAAGAGTTCAAACTTCTTAAGCTAACTTTTCTATTGGGGTTTCTATTGTGAATTCCAGTTCATGGTGAAAGAATGTGGTTACGTGTCATACTTAAGAAAATAATTATGATTCTTCTAGTCTCTGTGTAGTAAATATTCATAGCATCATTGGGTATTGAGGCCCTACTGTGTGCTTAGCATTCTGGAGGAAATGGAGGGGGAGGGATTTACTGTTTTACTTTCTTCTTATAGATCTACTGATATCTATTAATTTGGGGTACAAAAGAATTGTTATAGCCTAATATGGTGGTACATTCTTGTAATCCCTATGTGTAGGAGGCAGAGGCAGGAGAATCATCACAAATTTGAGGTGAGCCTGGTCTAGAGGGTACTAAACTGCTGAAGTCTAGAGTTTTTCTTGTTCGCTATTTAGTCTACAGCTGATGCCCTTGAAACAGTCTAACACTGCAACTCTTCATTATGTGCTAACTATATGCCAGGCCCTCTGGTAAGTTTTTTTATATGAATTGTTTTTAAACAGTCTATTTTTATTTTGCATATGCATGTGTGTACACAATGTATATTTGTGCACATTCATGTGTGTGTTATGTGCATGTACATGTGCCACAGTGTTCATGTGTAGGTCTGAGAACAGCCTTGAGTGTTGGCTCTTGCCATCCACCATTTCAGACAAGGTCTTACCACCACTGTGTATGCCAGGCTAACTGGCCTGTGAGGTTCTGGGAATTCTCCTGTGACTATCTCCCATCTTCTTGGAGGAGCACTAGGATTCTATGTTGGTTCTGGGTATTCAAATTCAGATCCTTATGCTATATAAGTGTTTTGTCCACTAAGTTATCTCTCCCATCTTATATGAATCATTTCACTCAATTTTCAACTCAATCTTGTATTTACAAAGGTTGAAATTTAGCTTCACAGAGCATAAATATTTGTACTGGTTCATATGTGGTGGCAGAAGGACTCCAATCCAGGTTGTTATTCAGCCACTAACAGTGACTGGTTCTGTGTCTGGCATAGAAGGCAGGGCCTGAGTAGGCATGCTAATTCCAGCCTCTTGGACATTATGGTCTCTGCAAGTCTTTTATTCCCAAGTCCATAGCTGGTTGTTTGCTTTTGAATCAGGGAGGGCATCACTATTCAGTTAAGGCTGGCCATGAACACAGATCCTCCTGCCCCACTCTTCCCAGTGCTGAAATCACAGGTGCTTGCCATTGTACCCCACCCCAGTCCATGATTTTGACCGTGACACTATACCCCTAGTCTAGATCTAGGCAGGGGGATGGGGGGACTGTTTCTCTTTTGGGGAAAGAGGGTAGTTTGAGACCTGGTCTCATGTAGTCCAGGCTGCGTCCAACTCACTGGGAAGCTAAGGATGACTTTAAATTCCTGATCTTCCTGCTTCCACTTCTTGAGTGTTGGGATTATAGGGATGAACCACTACACTGGACAATCCCTCCTGATGGAAAATTGACACTTGGAGGGAATCTAAGGAAGTTTCTTTGTTCTCTAATCTTTCCAGTGCTTGAAAAAATTACTTTTCTGTGTTCATATGAATATGGTGGTGCACACTTGTAATCCCACACTTAAAGGCTAAAACTGGAAGATCATGAGTATAAAGAACATTCTGGAAGCATAAGATTTGGTAGCAGACTTGAGTTTCAGTACTAGGTAGGTCATTTACCAGCTGTCTGTCCTTTGACAATAACTCTCAGTTTTTCCCTTTTGGAAAAGTGGTTCTGTTGTTATTGCATGTGCTCGTAGGGAAATGAATCTACTACATATTACACATTCAATATACTGTTAACAGGATTAAGAAGTGTAAGAAAACCACGGGTTGTGGAGGCTTGTCTACATGTGTCTACAGCTGTGTAGTATAGGTCTTCCCTCAAAAGTGAAGGCAGTCCGATCCCTGTGTCTGAAGATAGAAATTTAATAAATATCATTTGAATGGGCGAATGAATAAGTAAAGGCAAGATCTTTCAGGGAAATAGTGATATTTACCAATGTCCATGCAGCCCTCTACTAGTTGATAGTCCCTGAGCCCCTCACATTTCGGTTAAACTGTAAGTGGGCATGCGTTCACCTCAGGCCTCATCATGTAGTGCTGAGATTGAATGCTGGATAGGAAAGCCTTTGAAAAGCACACATCTACAAACGCGAGCGCTGCCACTCGCGATCAGCCACGGCCCACGCCCACGCTCAGCTGCAGCGGGCTCCGAGCCCCCTCACCGCCCTCTCTTCCTGGTTTTCCCCGGCAACCCGCCCCTCCGGGGTCATGTGACAGGGGTGCCCCGCCGGGCCAAGCCCCTGATTGGCCGGCCGGCAGGGCTCGTCGCGATTGGCCCCCCGCGGCAGGCCCCCGCCTCCCTCCTCCTCCTCGCCGCTGCCCACGTGAGGGGGGCGAGTCACGCGATTTCCGGGAACCCGTCAGGAAGGACATAAACAAAACAAACCCGAGGCAGCATGGAGAGGGGCCGTGGCCCCTGCAGCGCGCCCGGACCCAGCCCCTAAGCCCCCGGCATCCGCAGGTAAGCGCCGAGAGGCCGCCGGGCTCGCCGGGGCTGGGGTCACGGGGCCAGCCGGCGGCTGCAGAGGGCCGCTAGCCTGAGGAGCCGGGCTGCGGCCGACTCGGGGTGGGGGCCGGCCGAGCTGAGGGCGCGCGGTGTGGGTCCGAGCCGGGCCCTTCCCCGCGACCCGGGACGGTTACGTAAAAGCACGGGCCGGCGCGGCGGGCGGCGCAGTGCCCCGCCCGTCCCCTCCCCCGCGCCCGTGACCTTTAACGTAAAGCCGCGGCCCGGCGGGGCGGGCGGCGCGGGCCGTTCCTCGTCGGGCGTCCGGGGCCCGCGGCTGCCGGCAGCCGGCCTGTCAGAGCAGAGAGCGGGTGGGAGGGGCCGGGAGGGAGGGGAGGCGAGGCCGGTTGGAGCAGAGGGGCGTGTGAGCGAGGCCGGCAGCCTGCGGGCACCCTGAGGCCCGGGGACGGAGGCGTCGGCCCGGGCAGCTGCGGGCAGGGGCGCTGCAGGGCTGCTTCTCCCCCTGCGGCCCCCGCCCTGAGGCGGCGGGCAACCTGGGCCTCCCTCTCGGGATTTGTTTATATGTCTTCTCTAAGCAGCTTGAACGGGTCGGGGGCGGGGCCCTCGTGCTTGAGTGGCGGCTGGAGCTGTCCAATGGGGAAGGCGGACGGAAGCTGTGGCGCCAATGGTCGCAGGGGGACGGTGCCTAGGGCCCCTAGTGTGTTGGGCTGTGCTGGGGGTGGG